TGCCGGCCCCGGGGCGGAGGGGCTGAGCAGGGGGACGGAGGGCGGGTGCCGAGAGGCGCTCCCGGGCTGCCCCCGGCGCGGTGTCGCGAAGCCCCGGAGCAGCAGGGACGTGGGGAGGCCCCCGGAGCAGCCCCTGGAAGGCACGGCCGCTCGGAGCCGTGTCCGGGCGCTCCTGGATGTCTCCAAGGAAGGAGGGAGACTCCACAGCCTGGCTGGGCAGCTTGTCCCAGTGCTTGGTCACCCCCACGGTAAAAAAGCATTTCCCGATGTTCGGGTGGAACCTGCTGTGTTTCAGTTTGTGCCCACTGCCCTACGTCCTGTCACCGGACAGCGCTAAGAAGCATCTGGATCAATTTACTTCATTCCATCCCTTCAGCTATTTATACGCACCGATGAGATTCGCCCAAGGCTTCTCTTGTCTGGGCTAAACAGTCTCAGCTCTTTCATCCTTTCCTCGCAGGACAGATGCTGCAGTCCCTTAGTCACCTTTGTGGCCCTTTGCTGGACTCTCCCCAGCATGTCCATGTCTCTTTCATACTGAGGAGCTCAGAGGTGGACATAGTACTCCAGGTGAGGCTCCACCGGTCCTAACTGCAGGAGAAGGATCATCTCCCTTGTCCTGCTGGTGACACTCCTCCTAATGTAGCCCAGGATACCGGTAGCCTTCCTTGCCAAAAGGACACATTGCTGGCTCCTGTTCACCTTGGTATCTACTATGGTGTTCAAGTCCTTTTCTGCAAAGCTGCTTTCAGCAGGTCATTCTCCAGCATGTACTAGTGCATGGGGCTGCTCCTCCCAAAGTGTGGGTCTCTGCATTTCCCTCTGTTGAACTTTTTGATGCTCCTGTCAGACCATTCTTCAGCTTGTCAGGTCCATCTGGATGTCAGCATAACCCTCTAGTTTATCAACCACTCCACCCAGTTTTGTACTCTGAGTCAACATTGTGAACTCTCATGATATGAGGGGCCAGGGACCTTGATGTATTTCATGGGAAGCACACAAAACTACCTGTAGGAGAATAAGCATGTGGCTAATAAAATGTGAAGAATACAACGTTATTATACATTAGTTCATCTCATCTTTAATAGTTGGATTCAAAACCAAAGTATTCCTCAGCTGAATACCTGAGTTGTCAGTGCACCAGGGTTATAAATGGCCATGACCACTCCACACCCAGGGGTCAGTGATCCACAGTTCTGTTGCCATGGCCAGCACAGGCTGGACTTGCCATGCTGCACGCTTCCCTCACCATGGGATAAACTCTGCCAGCTCCTCGGTACAGAGGAGCCTGCAGGAAGCTCCCACTCAGTACAGGCAATCACACCTCTCACCCAGCCTTACCTTTATCTAGCAGTGCAACAAGAAGGTCTCATGAGACCACGTTTCTGTTTTGACTGTAGAAATGATAGAGCCATTTCCTTGCAAGAAAATCTTACAGAAGCTTAAAAGACCAAAGGATGAGAATCTCTGCTGTGGAGAAGGTTTGCACAGCATGTTGTGTGTGGACCATGTGATCACCACTGCTCTTCTGTTAGCACTGTAAATTAAAAAAAACTTAAAAAGTAAAGAGATCAGGGTACTCACATTCTTTCTTTTATTCTCCACAAGCAATTTAAATATGCAGAAATCTCCCCTTTCTTTCACGTATGCAGATGTAGTAGTCAAGTTTTTATCAGGAAAGTTTCATGGAGGTAAGGTCTGGCCTCCCAAGCATCTGTCCCTTCTGTCCAGGCCATTGCATCTAGAAATCCCCTGTATCATTAAGGTGTCCTGGCAGCACTGGAGGAGTTCTGGAGGCATTCTAGGTAGCATTGTGACCCACAGGAAAATCCTGAGGTGCTGCTGTGTTTTAGATTGGCCTTATAGACAAAACTTTACATTTGTCATTGACACTTGTCATTGAAGTACCTACAGAGGAGCAATAATGGAACTTAAAAGCTACCTTTGCCTCCAAAGGTAAGACTAACAAATTCTGTCATTCTGCACCTCTCAGAGATGCAGCAAAAAAACCCACGGTGCTTTTTCCTAATTGTAAATTTGATAACTTAACAAAAATTAATTACTATCACCAACCAGATCATGTTAAGAAATAATGCAGCTTAACAGTCTCATTCAAACTTAGCTTTACTATTAAGTCCAGGTCAAATTTTAATTACTTGGAGATACATTATTTTTTATCATCATGCAACACAGAAAAATTTAATAAAACTGTAGATTATAAATGTGACTAACAACAGTGAAATTTTCTGTAATATTGTTCAAATTTCCTTTTTGTTTGTTTTTTTTACATAGATCAAAATGGGTGATATTGAAAAATCCAAGAAGGTCTTTATTCATAAATGTTCTCAGTGCCACACAGTTGAAAAAGATGGAAAGCAGAGACAGGACCAATCTTTGGGGGTTATTTGACCACAAACAGGACAAGGTGCAGGGTTTTCTTTTTCAGATGCAAACAAGCACACAGGTAAAACTATCAGGTGACATGGATGAGGTACAGTGTTGGTGGAGACATTTATGAAAAAAAACTTTTTTCTTTAGAGATACAACAGAAAGCCTTACTGACAAGTTACTCTTACAATCGTCTGTTTTGCATTGCTGCAGATGAACCTAAACTATAGCTTCAGACACAAAAATCCTCAGTCCCTATATTAAAAAGAAGTTTAACCAGTATTCAACACACCGGATCAGAAGGCATTTATCTTTCCCAGAACTTCGTACTATCAACGGGCAGGTTTTATTTCAAGTGCTTTTAGTTTTTGTTTGCTGGTCACCACCCTCTGCTGGCAACGTGGTGTGATGCAGTTGTTTGCTCTGACCATTTGCCTAAATGCCATCACATACTAGTAAGTTATATGCTTTGTCTTGTGTTTTTCATACGGACAGGCTTGAACAGCAGTCGAACACTTAAAAAAGGAAAGTAATTCTGTAAGAGTTTCATTACTTTTATTTATATTATATTATTTGAATGTTTGCAACAAGTTATTAATTACAAATTTATTCCTGGGGTTTTTCTCAGGTTTAGAATTTTTTTATTTTTTTTTTCTGTGATTTCTAGGAAATGTTTTGTGACAATCACTTTATACTGGGACTTCATCATACAGTACATCATCAGCATATATTAACTATTTTTTCTCATTAAAAAATTTAGTGAACAAATCATACAGATGTTAGTATAATTTTGTAAAAGAAAGCAAAAAAAGTGATATCTAAATTATCTTTAGACAATGGGAAGAGTCAACTATGGAGGACAGAAGAGAAACTTGAACATTTCAGTAATCTTCAGTACAGCACTAGTAGGCTTCTGTTGACAGAGACAGGTTTTAACAGGGTTGGAAGGAAACACTAAGCGTTTTCCAACTTCTACTAAGTTTTCAAGAACTGGCCACTGACAGCCCTTTTTCTGATGCCCTTCAGTGGAGCACAGGAAGGATGAATTTCATGTCAATCTGTAGATGCTAATTTTCAACAAAAATATTAAAGTTGGATAGTTTGTATCCTGGAATTACAAAGATATTTACCAAACTGCACAGTAGTTAGTAGCCGTATGTGAAATGCTGCAAAAACTGCAACTCTTCTTGATGCTTCATGAATCACTGCTGCTGCAGCTGTAATATCAGTGAAGAGTATTTTCAATTTTTTGCTAGCTCCTATGTAAAGTTTTAGTATTTTGACATTAATTATTAATTAGGGACTGGCCTTATAAAAATCAAATAAGGATATGTTTTAAGATATTATGTCCTGATGAACAACGTTGGGAGGTGAGCATTATTTATATTATGCTATTATTTCATAAACCTTTGTTGATTGTACTATAGAAATACTGTTCCTTTCTAAAAGGAGATATGAGAGCCCAATTCTGTACCTAGTTATTCAAACACCCACTGAAACTATTATTCAGCTGTGGCTATGTAAATAAAAAGGTGCCTGTAAGAATTGGAACTGACAACTGAAAGAAGTTTTCTTTTGGAAAAAAAAAAATCCCCTGCATTATCATCTGTGAAGGAAAGTACCATATGCAGTAGACAACAAAACATGACCTTACATTAAAAGAACACTATACAAGGAAAAAGGAGGCAGGATACCAAGAATATCAGACTATCTTCAGGGGACAGGACACCTTTCAGTAGTGAAGCTGATGTAAAAAATCTTGAGATGCCTGAATATCCCATGAACTTTTTGCTTTAAAAATATAACCCCACTCATTGCACTGCTAGTGCTCCTTTGTTTACTAAAAAACCCCACTGTCTACCAGTCATTTCTCAGAGTTGTGGATTTTTTTCTCCATTTGAGGTTAACATATTAAGGTATGCTTATTTCTCTAACATGTAGAACCAATGAGGGCTAACTAGTTCAAGCAAATGATAGTAGTAGGTATTTTCAGCAACAGTAGAAGTGATTAAAGTCCTCCTAAAACCTCCTCATGAATCTCTACCAACTGAATTGTGATTTACAATTTAATTCTCTGTTTACACAAATGTAATGGGATGAAAATATACTTATTCAAGCAAGGTTTCCTTATGTCATCGCAGAAGGGAACATCAGTACAAAACTAATTTGCTGTAGTGTCTATTCCCAAGTACTCATTTTATCAGTATTGTTCCATTGCTTACTCACCAGGGTCTTTAACTGGTCGTCTTACAGTGCCCCATAGAGCTGAACTGCTGGTTTTAAGTAGGGGAATAAGCAAGAGTCAGATAAAAAGTTTTGTGACACAACTGTATGAGTACCTGCTTTCTTTCTTTTGTGCTGTAGCTATAAGATACTTCCCCCTTTTAGTTTAGTAGTCTGGACCCATTCTGTTGATTGTTTAGACAATTAAAGACCATATCACAAAAATCTTCTTGAGTGCTTTTACCAATAGCATTTTGAAGAGTCCTATCCCATTGTCTTTCTGATTAGAAAAACTCTGCTTGAGAAATGCAATGACATTTCTCCTAGTGATTCTTCTGGGGCATCTCTATGCTAGTGCCCCAGGAGACCAGGTGAGACTGGCTAAAGCCTGCCTTGCTGCCCGAGTTGGCACTGTGCATTCAAACTGATAAAAGGTGCATCATATTTAAGATTAATTGGATATAAGCTGCCTGTAGCTCACTACAGCATTCCTGTAGAATCATGAAGGCAACACCATCCTGTGGAGCTGACAAAATCCATTTGCCCTTTTGGCTCACCCACAAAAGGCTGCAACTAATCTGTCTGAGGCCCACACATGAACCTGCAGCCCAGCATATGGTGTGTTTGGTTTACTCACACTGCCCAGGCTGTAATGCCCATACATGAAATCCCCAGCAAATAAAGATGCCACAAGATTGAAGAAACAGTAAGTGAAGACCTCAGTTATACCCAGGCTTAGGGAAACACTAAATTGCTTCAAGTGTTTACATACAGAACTGCTACACAGTAACCATTTTGTTGAAAACACTAGTGTGAGCGTTCAGATCAAACCTTACTACAGTGAGAGAGCAAAAATTACGTACACAGAATTACTTCCTTGCGTGCAGATGCCAAAGGTCCTTGCTTGAGAGGTC